TAAAAGGCCCCTGCCCATTGTGCTATTGGGAAGGGTAAAAACTTTGAGATGCAACATCAAGAAGGATTTATAGCATTATGCCATGCCTGGCAAGTATTGAAATCCCAGATCCTTCTTTTCTCTCATGAATAGAGCTTTGCAAAGCTCTATCCATGTTTTATCCATAGTTGCTGCTTAAAAAATCAGCAGCAGCACCAACAATAAACACAGAACCATTTTTAAATGTCTGCAATTCTTAAAACTATGGACCAAATAAACTTCTTCACTTAATTTTGATTATCTCAGGTGTGTGTTACAGTAACAGAAATAACCTGATTAACACTCCATAAATCTTGCAATAGTGTAAGGAGAAAGGAGAACAGTTTCCCCATTCCAAAAGACGTAAATTTATGGGAGAAAGTCTCTGCGTTGATAACTCACTGCCTCTAGTGAGGGAGAATTTTATGAGAAAGAACTCATATTGTGATAAATCTCTGTCCTGCCATTTGGGCAAAAAAAAAAAGAAAAGCAGAAAGTCCCCATGTTACCTAGAGTGGCTTTAACAAAACAATTTCAAATATTTTAGAGGAAAATATTTTGGAATCCTTCAATAACTTTTTCCGTAAGGTGCTTTTCTCTTTTATGAAAAATGTGGAAAAATAAATCCTTAGTATATAATAAAAAATAGCTGTCCAGGAGCATAGAGAAATCAATGAAAGCAATTGATCAGTAGGAAGTGTGAGGCTGGGAAAAGAAATAGACTTTGGAACAGTACTAATAAATTAGTGTAGCTATGAAAATGGAACAATGACTGAGATGGGAATGTTTGCAGGGCATGAGTGGAATACACAAATGTGTGTGGCAATATAACAATGAAATCCTCTTTGTGTAACTAATATAAGCTAAATAGTAATAGTAATCATAATAAGTAACAATAACCATTACCTAGCTATTTTTGCTTGTTTCATGAGAAGTAATAGTTTCTCCATCAATTTGATTATTTCTATTGTGTAGAAGTAAAAACAAGCAACATGCTAGAACAATTAGTTAACTTTATTATGGTCAATCATGTTTGCCAATATAGTATGTTTAAGTTTAGTTTACAGTATCTATTTTAGAAGATGTCACTTTATTCCTGTAGTTGTACTAAATTAATATTTGAACTTTCCATTAGAGAGTAAAGGAATTTAATTTGATAAATACATCTTCCTCCTTTTCCTTCAGTTGCATCTGAGTCTTCAAAGAAGAATGTTTTCCAGGGCACTGAGTAACACAGTCTTTGTTATATCTCATGGTGGATGATATTAAATATAGTCACTCATGGTGTACCTACAATATAACTCAAACCATTCGATCTACTCTCATAGAGTTCAAGTTCTAGTGATATGCTCTCTGCTGTATCTGGTAACTGTTGGGTTTTTCATATTATAACTCAGAGTCCTCTTCCAATTTTGTGTCCTTCTTTGAATTTTTTGCACTTTAATTATTATTTTTCAATTTTGTATGCCTTCAACAGAGAGAGACTAATTTGGAGCCCTCCTTGTATCCTGGACCATACAAGTCCTTATAAAACCACAACTTCTCTCTTCAAATGGTGCTATAATCACTGGTAATTTCCAAACATGCTTTCTAACTGTTCAACTTGATTTTCCAGTGGTTCAACTAAGAAAAAGAATCCACTCTGTTCCTAGTTCTCTTGACAAGAAAATCCTCAGATATTAGCACCTGTAATTATTTTTGTGTGTAGGTAAGAAAAGTATTTTTTCTTTTAATATCTCATACTATAATAGAATATAAATAAACATTGATTGAATAAAAGTATAGCCAGTGTTATAACTGTCATGACTGTTTGTGCCAGCAGTCTGTCAGCAAGATTTTTGATAAATGTCTGCAGATCCCTGACACCCATGTTCCACTTTTCATAAACATAGCAATTACTATACTGTTTACTTGGTCCCTACTGGAGAAATCATTCTTAGTTCACAGACTAATTTATTGACTAAATGACTACTATTAATTGACATCAATAAAAAATGATAAAAATACACACAATCTCTTACCTTTTGTAAGGCCTGGCAAGATACGAAAAGAAACATCACCAGGTTCAGACAATGTTTAGACATGCTAGCTCTTCTCTCATGCTGCAATAATTAAGTAAATGCCCCTCAAAATTTGTGTTTCTCCATCCAGTATTTAGGGGTCTGATAATGTGTTATTCAGACCAGCTGGCAATCTAATTCCAAATCATTCTTTGAATTTTGAGGCACTAGATGGTTTCATATGAAGAACCTCATTTTTGTCAGTGGTCCATTAAGACCACATGTCTTCTGCTCTGACACACATTAAATTTGTGTAATTGGCTTTCTTATTGTAAAGAAAAACAGCCAACAATAGAGACACTAGGTGGAAAAATTATAATCCATACTTGCTTTTTGTTGATGGAATGAATATTAATGATGTTGATCATTGCCTAGCAACAAATGAAAAGAGTGGAAGTAGTTCATTTATTTGCTGCAAAGTAAGCCACTCTGTTCATGATAAAGGATAAAACAGCAACACACAGATAGATCTGAATGTAGTGATTCAGAAAATAATATGCTGAAATGACTGTAGAAATGATTTCTGGTTTTTCCAAAATGATATGCCTTGCAATACAAAGTCTGAAAAACAGGAAAAATTTACAAAATAAGGACCAAGTGTCCTCAAAATATATAAAGAAAACAGGGCCTTTTATATGAAATTGGCTTGTGTGCAACTGTACATAGATGTATTAACCAAAGCATGCTATTTGCAGGGGGGAGTTCAAACAGTGAAATTCCTTAGAAATCCTCACAGTCCAACAAAATGAATACCAGGAAACCAGTATTTGAAAGATGTGGGGAAAGGGAGAAGGGAAGGTAAAAAGACAGAGTAGGCAAATGATGAGAGGAAAGGGGAAAATGCTATCATATTCCATGTATATCCTATGAAATTCAGAAAACTGAGGGGAAGCATTGTTTGGAAAGTATGAGAAGAAATGATGAAAGTTGTTACTCTGATCATAATTCATTGAATTTATACACTGATTCATCGAGTAATAACTCCTTTCTACAACTACTTAAAGATGATAGAAAACATACTTTAAAATAATTTGTATTTTTCAAAACAACCATATTTCTTTAGAAAAACTTCTTAGGAAGACATTTTTAGGGTGTTGCTGGAAAAATTCACTTAGCTAAAAAACTAGACCTCTGCATAATGCATAATATATATAACCGATTATTGCACAGGAGATTTCAAACAGTATTAATAGAATACTGTCCAGTTACTAAGATCTTTTCATCACTCAGGCAATAAAATGTTATGAATATCCCATTCTAATTTCCACTGTATGTCATGGGTAATATATGAATGGTGAGCAAGATGGTAAAATAGATTTTGAGAAACAAAGCCCATGTCTATTGACCCATGTGTATCAAAACAAGAAGAATTAGGTTGTGAAATCATGCTATCACATGAGTACATACATATTGCAAACCTTTCCTTCACAGATGAAATGATAGTACCACAAATTAAAAAACAGGAATGGGATTTTGGTTTTGTTGGTTGGTTGATTGGTTGTGGTGGCATAATCTTAGTACTGGGTAGAGTTTGTCAGGGGTTATGATTTTGATACCAGCCAGAGCTACACCCTAAAATTTTGTCTCAGAAAAGGAGGAGGAGAGCAGTACCTAAAACACGAAGACACAAAATGGTTAAAAATGAAGTAACAAAATCTTGCTTGGTAGCATTAAAACAGATGCCTGCACAAATATTTACTGGAAACAGAAAGTACCAAAGAATTAATTGTGTAGATGTTCAAATACTAGATTTTTACATACTAAAATATCCCTAGATATATAAAATGCACATGGGTCATAATATTAGAAGCTTTCAACATGGACCTCTTAATTATTTATTAATAATTATACAACCAGAAATAACAGTGCTAACTTAAAGAAATGAATTAGCCATATATATAAATGAATTTTCCTCCAGCTTACATCAAAGATGTATAAAAATTGACTGGTACACTAGCACAAGTATAAAACCATTTCTGGACTGTCACTATGTATTTTGTGATTAAATAGTACCATTAAGTTGAAGGCAAATAAAATTATATAGTAAATGAATCCCACACTGTGGAAAATTGTGCTTATAATTACACATATAAATGTATGTATAGATAAAGAAATAGCAAACACCTATGAATTATTAGAATTAAAATATAATTAGTACACTATATGTCAAAATTTTATTATTGCTGTAGGAGCTATTCACAGTCATTGTATAATCAAATTTTGATGAAATATTTATGAATATGATTTTACTAAACAAGATATCTATGTATTGCTTTCCTTCCAGAGTTCTTTCCCATTCACTGAGGTTAACTCATTATCAAAACCTTCTCTTCTTATGTCATTCTCTCCCAGACTGATCTGCTTTGCTTTCTCCACTGAACTTTCTAGTTCCCGAAATATTTGATTACTGGTTTGTTTAGCTATCTAGCTGAACAAAAGCAAAATCAGTCTTTTCTATCTTATTTATTGATGAATACTCAATTTGTATCATACTGCCTGGTAATCCACATAGATTGAATGAATTTAATATTTTAAATCAATAATAGAAATCTCCACTTTGACAAATTAACAGCTCTACGAAGAGTGGCGAACAAAGAGAGCCATCAGTATTCTCCATTTGCACTGTGGATTGTCTAAAAACGATTTTCCCATGTTTACTAAGCAAGTTGCCATCTTAAATACTCCTGATCACCATGGAAAACAAAATAAATAGCCTAACGACTGTTACAAATACTAAATGTTCAACTGAAAAGTGAAAAACGTTTAACTCTTTTTCTAGAAATAGCTACAAGTTCGTTTTAAAAATGGCAATGATCCATGGTGTGCCCCATTTCTTAATTTACCACGAAGATTATATCCTATAGCACAAGACAAATGTTTGGAGAGCAAAATAAACCTGTGAGACTAAAACAATAAAAAAAATTAATTTCGGGAAAATGTTTTTCTCCTTGACGGCTCTTTGGCTATTGCTTCTTTCACATCTTTATTTCTAAAGCTGTAAACCATAGGATTCAACATGGGAATGACCGTGGTGTAAAATACAGCCACCATTTTCCCTTGCTCCACAGATTCCTGGGTTGTAGGTCTGAGATACATGAAAAAGAGAGTAGCGTAGAAGATGCTAACCGCCGTCAGATGAGAGCCACAGGTGGAAAAGGCTTTGCGCCTCCCTTCCGTGGAGCGGATCCTCAGAATAGCAGGGAAAATGTAGAGGTAAGATATCAGAATGATCAGAAGGGAAAAGGAAAGGTTGCATCCGGCTACCACAAACATGGACGTTTCTTTGTTGTAGGTGTCTGAGCAGGCCAGTTTAATGAGTGGCGGGTCAGCACAATAGAAGTGGTTGATTTCATTAGGGCCACAGAAGGCCAGGTTGTAGGTCCACATGGTCTCCATGAGGCCGGTGAGCGCTCCATACAGGTAAGGCATCACGATGAGGGTCATGCATTTTCTCTTGGACATCTTGCTGCTGTAAAGCAGAGGATTGCAGATGGCCATGTACCGATCAAAAGCCATTAGAGCCAGGATATAGAACTCCACGTGGACCAAAGCAATAAAAAAGTAACACTGTACCAGGCAGGCACAGTAAGAAATGGTTTTCTTCTTCAAAAGGAAAGTCTCCAGCATCTTCGGAGTCACATTGGAAGAAAAACACACATCCACAAAGGATAAGTGACTCAGGAAAAAGTACATGGGCGTGTGCAGCCTGGCATTGAGCTGGATGAGCACAATCAGGCCCAAATTCCCTGCCAAGGTGACCCCGTAAACGGCCAGAAACAGCGCAAAGAAGAGAATCTGTAACTCCAGGCGGTTGGTCAGTCCCAGGAGAACGAACTCGGTCACTGAGGTGACATTTCTCCTCATGATGGCCTTTAGTGAGAAATAGGGGCTTTAGTTGTTTTCTTAAGAGAGATTTGTTTTTATATTTTCTTAGAAATTTCTTTGTTTTTTTCATTATCTTTTGTTTCTTTATTTTGTCTCAGGAGGGGCCAGACACATGGTTTAAGTAAAAGACAACAGAATTAAATATTAGTTAGTACATTCAAAGTACTGCAAACCATTCACTCTGGCTGTCAAGGTCTTTGTCTTTTCTCTTCCCACCCCTTTATTTTTTTCCCTTTGTCCATTAATGTTTTCCATCTTCAGCTGTGTTTCTTTTCTATCTCAGCTTCTACTTTGTCTACTTGGGGTGTTTTAATTCTTCACCCCCTCAGTTCAATTATTTTATTCTTAACTTTTTGCTGTTCACTATAAACAGGCAAATAGATACTCTAAACTAATATTTCAATTATCTTCACTGGAAATTGAAAGCTCTCCTGAGCACATTTGATAGGTTCTTTGGCTTAGGGTTCAAAATGATAAATTTAAAATATATTAATTTCTTCTATATGTAAGGTATAAATGTCTGGTCCATTTCAGAATGAATACTTGATATTTGGGGGGAAAATATGGAAGAAAAGGAAGTACTTGAAAAATTAAGCAACTACAAATCTTAAAGGAATTCTTTCAGCAAATCAAGCCTTTTCCAGGTTTGTTCACAACTATGAAAAGACAAAAATTTATTTTCATAAAATGCTATTGGAAATCATACGATGTATAGATGATTGTTGGAAACACGAGGATTAAAAAATAAAACTGAGACTTTTGAAGACTGTATCCTTCAACTCCCATGAGACAGCTAACCACCAGGAATTTTTCTCACTGGGTTTTCTGAAACACCTAGCCCCAAGCTTTAGGTCTTTCTGTTTTTTGTGTTTTCGTTTCTATTTCTCTTATTCACCTATGTCATGTTTCCGTTTCTATTGACATCACCTCAAAAATCCCCTAATTGGTCTCCATATTATTCAGAGATGTTCATCTTTTATTGGCTCTTGCTCTCCAATCTGCCTCTAAATACATCTTGGCTTTGTGTACACACTATTTTTCAAAATTACAGAGCCTTTTAATGTAATAGGAATAGTTGTCTTTTTGTAGAAGTATAGTTATTGATCTATTTTCTGTTCTCACCTTTGAATATGTATATAAACCATATAAATTGTCTGTATGAATACAGCTATATACACTTACATGTACAGATATATAGATATACAGATATATGTGTATGTATGTGTGTATAAGGATGTATGGATATGTTTGACTTATTTTAGCATGTGGGCGTATGTTTTCATGAGGATCAGGAAGTGTGAAACTTTACTATTTTGTCTTGACCAGTGAACACTAAAACATCCTATTACACTCTTCTATTCATCCATTTCCTACATCCCTTTATAAAAAAGGTTTATTTTCTTTGTTGATTTGTATGTCCCTCCCCCACAGTATAACCCCTGCTTTCACTGTATTTGATGTCGGTATAATTTGTGGAGGGGAAAGGAAAAAAACAAATCGTTTAAATAGGGATACAGGTGGACCCATTGCAACAGTAAGATGTACAAGAAATTATGTCGAAAACGAACTTTACAAATTCGGTGGTGGAGGGGAGGAGAATTAGGTGGGGAGCTGGGGGAGGATGGGAAGGAATAGGAAGGGGAAACAAAGGAGGAGACTACAGTGCTTGATAAGAAATGAACTCATTATCTTGCCCATCTAATTGTAACCCTTCTGTACAGTATTTTTCACAATAAAAATAAAATAAATAAATAAATAAATAAAATAAAAAAGATTTATTAAGCTGAGTGCAGGTGGATCACACCTGTAATCCTAGCTACTAAGGAAGTTTAGAAGAGAGAATCATTGTTCAAAAACACCCCAGTCTACAAAGTTCATCAGAGTCTTTTCTCCAATTAAATATTTTTTGAAAAATGAAAATGAAATAATAGAGTGCTAACATTGAGCACAAAAGCTCAGGGACAGGGAATAGGCCCTAACTTCAAGCCACATAAAGAGAAAAAAGCAAATAAGGAAGGTCTACTAAGTTACCTTGGTACTTCAGAAACATTAACAATAACAATAATACCTTCTAACTTATTTCTACTCCATTATTTCACAAAATCAACTCAAAGTTTGGAACCTACCAGATTTGATTTTAAAAATATAACACTGCTACATATTACCTCTGTACTTGTAAGCAATCTACTTAATTTTCAAGAGCCTTAGTTTCTTAACTAAAAATGCGGTTTCAGGAATGTTCTCTGGGGTCATAGCATAGGGAAAGATCTGAGGATGTACAAAGCCAATAATTAATTTCACGTTCTGCCTCATTTTGCTTCAAATATTCACAGATACTGTATATTGCCACCACAGCTATAAGCAACCTTACTCCATTCTACATAGTCATTTGACTGTTTCTAAGCATGCAATTCATTCCTATCAAAGAGATCTTTGAATTCCAAATACTGAAAAATGTACAAAACCAAAAGTAAAGTTTGAGCTAGTTCCTGATCCGTACAAAATAGCCTTACCTGTGAGGAAGGAGAGAAATACAGAAAAAAGAATACTAAGGCAGCTGAGATGAGAGAATCATGGTCCAAAGCCACCAGGCTAGAAAATTCAAGAATAACTGAAGAACATTTTACTTCTTCTTTTATAGTTGGATTTTTCCCCTGTTGAATTTTAAAGAGACAACATGAACTCATCAATTTCACTAATTAAAATTTCCCTGAAGACAGCTCTGGGACTTTTAACATGGGAGTTTGAAATGACTTAAGCATCTCTTCTGGGCCTTAATCATTCTTGGCGACAACCTTGATGTTTGTTCTGATCAACTGGAAATTGTTCTGCCTTACTACCTTCATCCTTCAGCAGGCAGAAAGAACCACAAGCTGTAGAAAACAGATTCCTCACTGGCAGCCAGCCAGCATGAATTCTACCATGCTGTATTATTATACAGAACATTCTTTCATTTGAAACTCAAGATTGCTGGGCACTGTTGCTTCACATTTTTGTAATCCTGCCTACCCAGGAGGTTGAGATCTGAGGATCAAGGTTCAAAGCCAGCCTAGGCAGGACAGTCAATGGGACTCTCTTATCTCCAATTAATTACCAAAAAGCTGAGGCAAAGCTGTGGCTCAGATGGTAGAGTCCCAGACTTGAGCAAGGAAAGCTCTTCAACAGTGCCTGGGTTCTAAAATGAAGCTAAAATGAAATAAATAGTAAAACTACCACCTTCTTGTTCTGTGAAAGCAGAACATTTCTAAGTCTAACAATCAAAAGAGTAACTTGAATTATAAAGTCTCAGAGTCTGCTTTCCAGTCATTACTGGAAACTGAGCTAGTGACCCATATAAAACCTTTCAATGTAGGAGAGACAGTGTCCCTTCATGTTAAGATGCATCTGCCAGGGGACCCCACAAGGACAGAAGAGCTTGGAGTAAGTATGAAATGTGAAAACAAACCAAAATAGCAAAAATATATGATTCACCTGCATAGCAAAGAATACCAGGCATGTACCAGCATATCTGGCTTTTATTGGTTGGGATTACCATTGAAGTCTTTTTCCTGAACTGTGACCCTCTCCACCTCTACCAGAGTACTCCACCAGAGTAGCTAAGATTCCAAATGTGAGCCACCACACTCTATTAGTTCTTTGTCCATATGTGTAAACAGGATCTTGGGGCAACTTTGCCTTTCAACTAAACATATTAAAATAACATTACCTAGTTGCAATAATTGTATGGGGCCATTGTATTGGAGAATGATTTGAAAATGATGTCTTTGTGCGCAATTCAACTATTAAGACCGAAGGCTTTGAAATACACTTGAAAAAGAATATTTGTATTTGAAGTAGGGACTGTGTGCATTTTGTGGTTCATCACTTTTCCTTAAAACATCACAAGTTAATGAAAACATCTATTTCAATCAGATCTTCCCTGGTCTGACAACACTGAAATCAAAGATATGCATGAATTGGACAGAGTACATAAAGAATTAATAAATCTGTATATATTTCACAGCTAGAGGACTAGCTTTAGTTCACTCAAACTTAATTGATTTTCCTTTTTTGTATCAGTACATCTAATAGTGTTATATTGCCACATATAACAGATTGTCCTTTTTGATCTCTAATATTTTCATAATTACTTCAAAAATGTGCCATCCTGGTGCATCCATAAAATCTTCTCGTAAAGGGACTGGGAAGTTGGCTCAGTGGTTGAGTGTTTGCCTTGCATGGATGAGGGCCTGGGTTCCATTCCTCAGCACCACATATGTGAACAAAGCCCGAAGTGTCACTGTGGTTCAAGTGGTAGTACACTTTCCTTGAGCTGAAGAGCTGAGAGACAGCACCCAGACCCAGAGTTCAGGCCCCATGAACAAAAAAAACAAAAACAAAAAATCATCTAGTATATAGAGCAGTGTGTGGCTTATGGAGGAACTCAGTAAACACTCATCAACATCACTTCTACTACAAGAATGCAATACTTTCAGAAATGTTGTATTTTTAAAAATTCATTTCTTATTTCCTTACTTCAACATGAAAATACGTGCAAATAAGTTATCATGTTTTAACATACAGCTAGATCTGTCAAAACTAATAGTGGCAAAGAATTATTCTTGGTAAAATTTAGGACTGTTTTACAAACATCAAATATCTGATGCTTCCTAAATATCAGATTAATAATAAAGCAGAGATTTCTGGCTTCCTAACCATGGAATATCACTACTTAACCAGATAAAAAGTCTGGAAGCCATGGCTCAAGTGGTAGAACATCAGCTATTCATTAGGAGGTTGAACAACTGCTAGCCCCTGAATTCAAGCATAGGTCTGTGAATGTGTGTGTGTGTGTGTGTGTGTGTGTGCGTGCGCGGGCACACACACACACACTACATTCCAAGTATTTGAGGACAGCCATATTGTTTTGCACAAACCTTCTTTACTATCTTCATGAGTTAGTATTTAAAAATAAGCTCTTGGAGATTCTGGCAGATGAA